TCTGTCCAGTAAATGGAGGAAACTACAGAATAAAGCCATCTTTCATACAAACTCGTTACCTTTAGTCGACCGGTAGTGTAAAATGTCGCTGAGGGGTTTGCCAGTTGCAGTCTTTCTTTGAGCAAGTTGCTTCCAAAAGCGAAATACATGAAGAGACCGCTGGTAGCACCAGCCATTTTTTTTGACAATTCGCGTTTGCTGCCCTCGAAGCGACAACAGAGCAGCTAAATCTGGCCAATGTTATACCGGTGTTACAGTGTGCAAAACCAAACATGCAAATACCCCCCAGGAAGGTCCGTGTACTTTGCGGTCATTGGATTTTCGTTTGGAATTGAGAAAACCAAAATCAGAAAACGAACGGTTTCTCGATCTCCATTTAGAAACAGGAAAACGGAAATCGGAAAACGAACAATTTCTTGATCTCCATTTAGAAACAGGAAAACGAAAATCAGAAAACGAGCCGTTTTTCGTTTTGATAATATTGTAGTGATCCTTCACTTGGCATGTTATGATGTTCTAAATTGTCAATTCATTTTGGAATAAAACTAACCTAACAATGTGGAAAAAGTTAAGCGCTGTGAATACTTTCTGGATGCACTGTAGAAGAAAGGCACACAGAAAGAGACACAAACTGCTGTTTGTAGTTGGTTAACTTTGCCTTTTTTAAGTTATCTTTGTTGTCAATTTGTGTTATTTTCTCTCTCTTCGTACTCGTTTTGCAGTTGTAACCATTTAGTATCTCTTTGTGGTCATTTTATGTCACTAATTGTCCATCCTGGTCGTTTTGTGTCTATTCTTATTTCGACCAAGCATCTTTAATGTGTTAGTAATGTAGTAAGATTCAAAGTCTGCTCTAGTCTGCTCTGCTTCAAGGTTAGCAGTAAGCCATGACACCAATTGCTTTCTTGTATTAACATCTTGTGTTAGATTTATGTCGCAGAGAAGTAGTGATGGGAAGTCCGGCTCTTTTCACAGATTTGGCTCTTTTGGCTCGGCTCTCTTAAAAGAGCCGGCTCTTGTGGCTCCCCCACGGGGCCT